GCAAGCCGTAGTTCTGATAAGAGCTGTTATTGAAAAAAGAGCAGTTTCTGTCAGAGCTCTCTCAGCCCCACCTCACAGGGTGTCTGTTGTGGGGAGGGGAAGGGAAAGGAGTTTGTAAGCCGCTCTGAGACACCTTTGGGTAGTGAAGGGCAGGGTATAAATCCAATCTCCTCCTCCTCCTCCTCTTTGATGTACAACGCAACACCACTACGAACCCATCACTTGCAATAGAGCTTATACCCAAGAATAATTGTATCCCATAGATTTTCACCATTCCACCATGTTTCTGAGATACCTACTATATCTAAATTGTCATTGATCACCAAGTACTCCATCTCCCCTATCTTGGCTCAGAGACCTCTAGCACTGGCATATAGACACCAATAATGTGTTTCCCTCTCCAGTAACCCTTGCCTCCCTTGGCCCCTTAGTTGTCACACACGACCCTCAGTCACCATTATGCCCTCACTCCCAAGTTCTATTACACTCCTATCAATATTACCCCGTTTATGCAATCATCCCTTTGGACTGACTTGTCCCAGACCAGAGGCTCCATAGCTCCTGTCAGCTTCCCTCCCAGAATTAGTTTAAAAGCTGCTGTGAAGCCTATTTGATATTAATACTGATATTAACACTGAGAAGCTATGAGCACTGAGAAGCCAAACAATTCCTACATTTCTCAGAAACTGGTTTTCAGAAAACAGAAACTGCAATGTGCAAGCATTTTCACTGATAAGATGACTTTATGAAAATACATCTCCAGTGAAGTACATAGTTAAGGAATACAATCAAACCTCACTCAAAGTTCAGTTTGAAAAAGAACACTTTATTGGGTTTTGTTGAACTACTTCCAATGAAACATCTCTACAGAAATTCCTACCTCAGTGTGACAGTATATTGTTTAGAAAGCCAATGTAAAGTGAGGGGAAACAAAAGTGAAACTATCAGACAGTAAGCAGCTGACACAGCAACACACACTCTATGGTGTGATCTATAGCATGACTCTCTATAACTACGCTGAATAACCTTGTGATCAGCTTACGCCTACGACACTCACCAAATTACAGCTAAAAACTGTCGTGGAAATTACTGAATTTTGCATGATAGACCCTGCAGAACCGGGACAAAAGGGGTCCCACAGCATCACATGTTTCCTTACCTGCTACTACTGCTGTTTTTCTTCGACTTGCTTCTTCGTTTTAAGGCATCACTGTCCTTGCTGTTGTAGGGTAATATGGAAGCATATCCATGCTCAGCTTCTGAGGAAAACAAACAAACAAACCAACCCTACATTCACTCCATTATCAGCCCTAGACAAATCAGAAAGTATTTTTTCCTAAATCATCCCTGTCCATACAATTGTTCTACAATTTTACAAAATTTATGACTTCTCCCCCCTACAAGACTCACTTTGGTCACAAGCTCAGGCAAGCTAGGACCTAAAAGTCTCAACACTTCCATGTGCAATATCAGAATGCAAACATTACTAGTGCCTAACACGTATGCTGTATTAATGCTAATTACAATACTAGATGAGCTAGGCCTCTCACGTCCGGCAAGGGGTGTGACTTGGCCATAGCATACAGCCTTGAAGAAAAAGCACAGATAGGCTACGAAGAGCCAACCAGGCGACGCCGTCCGCCTCCTGGCTGGAGCTCACAGAAAGCCTACGTGATAGAAGCAACGCAGGCAGGCCGATAAAGCCTCTTTGGAGCCAAGATTACAGTTCTCGGTGGGGTAACTCCTTCGGAGGCAGGCGGCACGAAGCCGTGAGGAGGCCTTCCATTTGTACAGCATCGCGACGCGTTGACGTTTCTTCACGACCAAGCGGGCGGCTGGTTGGGGGGGGTCGAAAGTGGGTCAAGCGCAGAACAAAAGACGTGGTACGGCTCGATCGCTCCACAGCAGTGGGAAGCAGAGCGTCAGGATTCTGGGCCAGGAATGACGATGTGCGCACCCACCCACCACCCACCCCCCGAGAAGGGGGAGCAAGAGAAGGCGGCGCTCCCTCCTCTGGGGCCCGCATCAAAGGCCGCCTCTGCCGAAGGACCAAGAGCGCCGCCGCCACCAAGCACAGCGAGGCACGAAGAGGGCCCTTTTCTCTCTCGCTCCCGCCTCCCCCCCCCCCCCCCCCCCCCACCAACCGCAGGCCTCCTCGACTGTCGTCAGGCGCTCAACGCGCGACGGGGCCGAAAGGAAACGCCGCCACTGCGCGCTCTACGATCGGCCAGGGAAGAAAAGGCAGAAGAGGGACTCGACTACTTCTGTGAGGTAGCGCAGCGGAGGAGGAGGCGACTCACCATCATTGCGGGGGGGGGAAGGGGGCATTTCGGAGGGGATCGCGGGCGACGAGGGCCGTTGCCGGGGCGCCTACCTCGCTCCCTTCGCTCCAGGAACTCAGCTGCTTCCAGCAGCATCTGGATATTCTCGCACACCTGGGCAGCCGACGCCATCTTACGTCTTCGTGGGCCTGTGTTGGGCTACTGGCTCGCTTCGTGCTGGCGTCCCTGCGGCCCCGAGCCTGGCCTACCTTCCCTCCCCTCAGCCTCGCCACCCTCCACTTCTTTCTTCTCCAGCGGGCGCAGCTCGAGTGTGTGTTTATCCCACCTCAGCCTGACAGACTTGACGCAACCAATCCCTCCCCCATACGCCAACCGCAACTCAACCCACTGCCGCCCGAGCGCAGACAGGATTGGGTAAGAAGACGCAACTCCGCCCATAGCGTTGCTTTATTGGACCGCTGTGAGGGAAGAAAACAATAAGCCACTCCCACTTCGCACAACTGACTTCCCATTCGCCTTCCCTCATATCGGCGGAGGTTCTGCCCTTTTATTGGCTCAGATACCCTATGACCCCGCCCTGAACGGTTTCAACACCTCATTGGATAAACTACAGTCGCTCGCTGTCCCGTAATACTGCTTGGCTTCTATTCGCACGACCCCATTGGCTCAGACTTTTAAAGTTACGCCCTACAATGCTTGTGATAGGAAGGTCATGTTTCGCCCAGCCTCCTATTCCTGGTTGCTACTTGCTCCTGACTGGCTCGGAAGCTTCTCAGTCCCGCCCCTCCCTGGTTTATTGTGTTGATCTTCGACGTCTTGCTCCGCCCACCGTCCACGCGCTCTTGCTGGATTTAGACATGATACGAGCAGGACGAGGATTTTCAACGGGTCGTTTAAAATGAGCTGCAACCTCATACAAAGCAGTGACCCATGCTGAGTTTGGGTTGGGATGGGATAGGGGGGCGCTTGTAGCCATCAGGCCCTGCTCGCCAAATAAGCAGGCCTAGCTGGTTTGCAGGGCTTTAAGCTGAATGCTGTGCAAGTCCCATTTGTTACATGGTGACTGAGGGGAACCTCCACATTCAGAGGTACTAATCCTCTGAATCTCAAAGCCAGGAGTCCTCAGCCTCTATGTCCTGTTGTTGGCTGTTCAGAGGAACTGGTTGGCCACTCTATGAGACAGAATGCTGAACTAGATGGACCACTGGTCTGATCCAGCAGGGTTATGTTTTTATTCTCACAACAACCCTATGAGGCAAATCACCCAGCAAGCTCCCCTGGAAGCATGGAAACTGACACTTCCTTATACTGAATTATTGTCTACTCAGACTGGCAGCAGCTCTCCAAGGTTGTCGAGGTTTTTCACATTACCTATTACCTGGTACAGGGAGAGGGGTGGCTCAAAGCCTAGGTGAAATTTAAGTCAGAAGCATTAGAACCTCACAGCTCAGACTTTTAGGTATCATACCAACCTAGCTCTCAGAGGACTGAAACTGCAGGCAACAAGATTCACTAAGAGACAATTTTCTACTCTGATTCGCTGAGAAAATTCTGTACCAACCAAGTTTTACTTATAATTCACTGATGTCTTAAACAGGCAGCAAATGTACAAAAAGATTAAAAAATTAGGTGCCTCTAGCATCACCCCCATCCCACTCATAAGCACAGTGCTTTATTTGAAGCTTCCCCAGTATTAAACACGACCTTGGTAAGTGGTACTGGAGACTGCAGGTGGCTGTCGGAAACACACAGCCAAAGGCCCACTGGGCTTGACATAACACACCATGCAATTCCCTGTAGTAGAGCACAGGTCTTTTTCAGGGCAGGTCAATTAAAGGGGCGGGGGAGACTGATTTTGCCCAACATTAAAACTATGCCCTTGTAACACACTTGCCCTCATCTGGATGACGCACCCTAGTCTGATCTCGTCAGATCTTGGAAGCTAAGCAGGGTTGCCCCTGGTTAGTACTTGTGTAGGAGACCAAGGAAGTACAAGGGTACTGTGCAGGCAAGCCACCTCTGCTCTTCTCTTGCCTTGAAAACCCAACAAGGTCGCCATCCATAAATTGGCTGCAGTTTGACAGCACGTTCCACCACCGCTAGTGGACTACACTCTAAATGCACGTTTAGACTGTAAGAGACATGCATGGATCAATCATAATGCAAGTCTATGGATTAGCCCTATTGTCTTCATAAGAGCTGGATTATAGCCTTAGCCTCTCCAGAAGAGGGACTACTACTTCCTACAATCCCCTTTCAGTTTAAGAACTTCCAAAACAAAATAAGGTGATACCAGAACCATTTCTATGTTACCCAGAAAAACAGGGAAATTAAAGAAGTCACTTAGGTGAAGAGCAACTAGTCTTCAGTGGTATTTCTTCAAACCCCCCCTTTTAATTACCTCAACTAGCTTTCAATAATTACATTCCCACCAACATGATAAGTGAACTTTATAAACAGGCATGTGTATTCCCTTCATGTGATCTAATAGACTTGACTTTAGAATTGTCTGGGTCTGTCCACCCACTTGGACTGCGTGCTAGCAATATCCTGTTAGCTTTAGGACTCTACATGTACTTGTGTGGGAGGAATAAATCACATCCCCATTCCAGGTCAAAGGAAGCTGAGCAAGTGATTTTAATCTGGATCATATCTCTGTCAAATTCACT